GGACAAACCAGAAACTTAATTTCAGGTATGCTAATGCATAAAGGATATCGCGGGTGATTAAGCTTAATAGAGAAATGTCATGCCACTACGATCTTCAGACTCGGTTTCTTGTGGGAAGGAGAAGATGTGGGAGACCAGGGTGGTAGGAACAGTTTATTTTGTATAGAAGGAATGAGAAAATAGGTAGAAGGATTTTCGCACTTTAAATGGCATGCTTCCGACCGTGAGGGCCGCCTTCAGAGGTGTGTGAGCACGTGGTCAGCACAGGCGCAAACAACGCTGCCTACGTCCGCAACCTGGCGGGACAGAATCCGGTGTGAAGTTAGCATGGGAGTTGTCACAAGCGCCCAGTGCGACCTTTGTTTGAATCAGCCTTAGGGCGATGATTGGCCAGACCAATCGTACCAGACTGGGGTATTTTGGCTTCTGGGCGCACATACGCACTGATGCCCGAGATCAAAAGTTGATATCTGAAGTGCGCGCGCGTTGGAAGGAAGCAGGGCTACAGCCACTACACGCTCGACAAACTAAAGATCCACGTCTGTTAATTATCTCCAGATATAGTTCCTTTTACCGAAACCTGGTTGCCCCAACATATGAACGGCCGTGTGGTTAGTATGTATGGCTACAACCTGTTTATGAGAACCAGAGAGGGGCGTCAAGTTGGAGGCGAGCTTAAAATAGGTGTTACAACTGACAAAAGCTAAGGATATTTACAAGAAAATTTCTGGTGCGTAAAAAATAGTCCAGGCTACGCTCCTAAAAGTTTTAATGTATAATGCTAAACGCCTTAGTTAAAAGGAAGACATATTGCAATTTATCAAACACTATTAAGTGGCAAAGAAAAAAATAGATTTTTAGATAAACAGAAGTATATGAAAAATTAAAAAATTATGGCTATTAAGAAAATGTAGCTGGACTTATAATTGTAGACAACATTGATAAACTGTCGCGTACTTGCGAGACGATCTGGCTATCCACTGAAGTGCAAGGTTCCTCAAGTCTCGGTATCCCGAAACTCTACCGATCACCGCGGAGGGATCCTACCCTGCCAGCACAATCCCCGGGTAGGACGGGGATAGAGACGGGGGTAGG